TGCTTTTGAAGCGAGGCGAGCCCTTGTCGCTTTTTTGCGCTTCTCGCTCTTAAAAACACTGGTAGAAACCCACTTCAAATTCACAATCCACAACCTAGCTAAACACTCATGACATTGTTTTCTGTCTCACTGGCAAAACATGTAAGGAAACTGTTCGGGTGGACACTGTTAATCCTTATAAGACAAGATACCCATCTCCCCAAGGTCTCAGGTTAAAGAACTCATGTCGCGGAACAAAGTCTAATTCAAGAATCAGGTAACCGTACCAACCAATCAACCATAACTTATTAATATACTATCTTCTCATGTAGCTCATTTAACCACAAAGCTTCAAGCACCCTAACCATTACAGAAGAAGTTAACATAGATAAGGTGGTAAATTCAGCCGATGACACCTATTATCATTTATCTGCCTTCCATTTTATAAATACTCTTTTACCTTCTGAAGAATCCAGTGAACCAATTTAAAAAGGTATTCACCAAATCGCATAGACCAGCATTTTGACATAAAGCTGATTTGTCGACTAAATAGGTCTAATCACCCAGTAATCAAAATCCGACTGTTATTTCAATTCAGGAAAAAAATAAATCATACTCACCAAGTCCAACAGCTTGAAACTTATGATTCTGCGAAATATTTCTGTGCGTCAACTGTGTCAAAGCAAAATATAGGCCTGCAACATCTATAAACCCGAATACGGCCTTCAACAATTCCTACAAAAGGGAAAGGTGCGTTTCAAGATCAGCTATTAGAAAACGTTTTCTGAATAAAATACTAACAGAAAACCATCACTACTTTGACCATCAGCTATAAACCCGAATATTTAACTTTTTTTCTATACATCAGTTATTCTAGCAGGGAAAAAGAAATGACACCAAAGATCAGCCTACATAGAAAAGCTTTTAGTGTGCGGAACACATGAAGAGAACATCCTTTGACCATTTGATTCATCATTTATCCAAGTTTCTCTAACACAGTAAAAGATTAAATTTTCCTTTCATTAGTTTCAACTGACCAGCCATAATGCTTTGATTTCCCGTTTGTTTCGGTTATTCCTTGTGCTTAGCACGAATCCAAATTCCTAGGGAAAAAAACCAAAGAAACATTCCTCCTACCATGTTGAAACAATGAAAAGAGAAAATTGGAAGGGGCGGCTTTGTGGGTTCTAATTGAGTGTTTCTAACCAAGTTCCAATTTCTCAGGTCGTCCAACTTTGCTAGATGGATAAATCAAATGGTTGGGGAAAAGGATGGTTGAAGAAAAAGAAGACTCAGAAGTACTTCAAGCCAGTCTATAAGCAAACCTACACTTAAACAAGTCTTGAAATATGGGTCGTCTATAGACAGTTAAATTCAATTGTGTTTATTATTAGCTGTTGAAGAACCAAACCAAAAGCCATGGGTTCCTATCAATCTTAATCAAAATGGACAAATAGACGTGATCAGAAAGTTTATAAGCTGCAGGTTTCTCATTCAGACAGGAAGCTTTCGCCGCGCCCTTCCGCCAAGATGAGTTTAAGGGAAAAATAAAAAAAACAATAAGAGGGGATTGGGGTGTGATAAAGGCCAGCAATCCTATTTTACTGAAGCTATGACTATCCATTATAGAAGAAACATGAAATATACAAATTGATCCTTGACACCAAGACGAGTAAAACGGCCAAAAATAAGATGATAGTCATTATGATAATGGAAACATATTAAAAGGGGGATAATACATTACCTGATATGGATCAAAACTGTCGCTTTCGGATACATTAAGAAATGTTGCTAGACAAACTAGCTGAAAAGAAAAGAAGCTAAATGAGCTCAATGGGAATACCAAAAGGAATAAAATAAACAAAAATAGAATGATCCAGCAAACTAAGTTCATATTCTTTGACATTGTTTCTGGTTGAATTGGTACTTAGAGCTTAAAACTCAATTCATCTCTCAGTTTCTCTTTTTCATGTTCTTGATGGAGAGAGCTAATTCCATTTAGCAAAAGTAGGCAATGAATCCATAGTCATGGCACAATCGAGTAGTAGTTATTGACCTTTACTAGTGAGGTAACAAGGTAAACAACAGCAGCTCTTATTGAAGTCCACAGCGTGTCATACTCGGACCTGCATAAAAACACCTTAGTTTCAACCTCTGTTCAAAATTTCCTTCTCAAAAACAAAAAAGTAAAAAGAACTTCTGTTCAAACTTATGGTATTGGTTATTAGAGGCCTCCCTTCCACGTCATGGAATGTGTCACAATTGAACTTCAAGGTGATAAAAATAATGACTTAATTCTTAAATTAAAGAATCAATAGATAAAGGAACATAGCAACTCACTCAAGAAGGACAGATTTATATTATACGTAACAACAGTAAAATTTGATCAATTTTGAAAGCAGCCCATGAAAGTGATGGAGTAGACAGAATACTATTAAGCATCAGATTAAAATGTTAAAGTCTAAACACCGCCACACTGGCAAACAAGGAGCAAAAAAATATGGATAACCTGATGCAATTGCCATCACTCAGCACATCTTTAGAAAAATTAAGAGCAATCAAAGGAACAAATGCGCAAAAGAAAAGGCCATGATTCCTCTGCTTTGGTTCTTATTTCTTATTAGCAAAAGATGGTAGTAAGATTAAACAAAAAAAGAAGATCTAAAAAAGACCTAGCTGTATAAGTAAAGTGTATCTAGATATATATGCTCGATCCAACATTAATCAGATAAAAAGAAAATAGCAATCTTAACAGACAAAATAACCCAAAGCACCTCCCTAGTCCTTTTTTGATAACCATGGTATTTGGGCCAGCTTGCGCACGTTTCGACTAATTCCACGAGATACCTGCCACTTCCCTAGTCCTTTATCCCACATGGTATGAAAAATTTCTTATCTAGTGTATGCATCAAACCAATAAATGCATCAACTTTTGCCACTTAACCATGGTTAACAATACACTTAAAACTTCAAATACTATGAAAAACACTTAAGCATTGATAACAATGACTCATGAAGAAAAAGAACGAATGTTAAGCCATAACCAATAACAATGTTTAATATAAAAATAACATCTTTTTAATAATTTAATTAATATTACCCATAAACGTAACTTTTTAAACTGTTTAACATTAACTCCTACAATAAAAAATACTAAATACAGTGCATATCAAGCTGCCAGTAAATCATAAGAGAAAATAAAGTTTACTAAATTGCATATAATAACACTAAACATGAGACCCCAAAAGAAATTACCCAATCAAAAAAATAATAAAACCAAACTGAATTTGCATATAAGTAGATCGAAATCATTCTTGAGAAAATAACTAAGTTTGGGCTATTTAAGAAGAAGAAGAACGTACAAAGGGGTAGCAGAGTAATAGACAGCATGAGGTCCGAAAGTTAGGATTGCACAGTTGAAGAAGTGGAACATCGTCATCTTCCCTTCTTCCGATGAAGAGTAGAGTAGAGGAGATCTCAATTCTCAAACCAAGTTGCTCTTCTTTTATGACAAGTCTTCCAGCTTCGGATGAATCTTCTTAACTGGGCTTTTCGATCCACCTTGTTGGGCCACTTCTCTTTGGATATGGGCCCTGCACGGTTTACATGGGCTTTGAAATCAAATTAGAAAAAGAAAAAAATTAACCCAAATAGCCGTCTACCCAACCGCTTAAACTAAAGATAGCCGGTGAAGGTACATATAATATAAGCATAATTTATGTATTATATGTGTATAATTATGTATAACTAATATTTAAACTATTTATATAGCTAAAACATAAACAATAAATATGACCGCCTATTTGTGTAAAAATCTCAATTTCATAACTAGCTGTTGTGATGACCCAAAGGGTCATCTTGTGTTTTAGAACCTAAATTCGGGTTACGAGGCCTTAAAAACCTCATTTTCTTCCTCCTCGATTTGCTTGGGCAGTCCGGGTGCGTTCCTGGAAAGCAACAACAACAACAACAACGACCTAGTAAAATCCCACAAGTGGGGTCTGGGGAGGGTAGTATGTACGCAGACCTTACCCCTACCCCAAAGGAGTGTGAGCGCGTTATTTTGCCTCACACGAACCACTCCTAAAAATTCAAAATAAAATAAATCTTTCTTTTTTGTGCAATTTTGTGAATTTTCGTGATATTTTCTGTAATTGTTTGCATTTGTGTGTGCATATTCGTTTTTTTAAATTAATAAAAATACAAAAATATAGAATATGCACTTAGGATTTGATTTTACATTTTTTAGTTAATTTAGTAAAATACTGTTTTACAAAATGAAAAATTCAAAAAAAAAACGTATTTTTGCATTTTAGTGTTTAATGTCAAATTTTGCGATTTTCTTTTAATTTGGTATTAGTTATGTGTGATAATTATTATTTAGAGATAATTAGTATTTTAAGGTAATTTGAGCTTTTATAGCTTAATTTAGGATTTTAAGTCCTAATTTTTGAAAGAAAAAGGAAGAAAAGAAAAGAAAAAAAAGAGAGAATTAATAAAAGAGAGGAAACAAGATCTGGGCCAAAAATCCCCAGCCCAAACACAAAACCAGTCCAAACCCATCAGAAAACCGTCCAAACCCGTTCGAAACTGGCCCAACTAGCTCAGACCCGTCTCCAGCCTCAACCAAACGACGTTGTTTCAGGCGTTTCAATCTGGACCGTTGAAATTAACTTGATCAAACGGTCCCAAAGCCTTGAC